ATTAAAAAGAGAAGCACTTCATCAGTGAGATGGGGTAACCTTTGTCATTGTTTTCTTGGGGATTCTGTTTCTTGAATGAATGGATGAGTGAAATGAGATAGTACGTGTAAAGTGCTTTAGCACAGGAACAGCCTTAATAAATGGTAGTTATTAATAATGAACATGTCAGAATATGCACTTGTCACTCATAACTGAATATAGCTCAAATATTAACATAAGATGATTTTTCTTTTTAGTATCAAAAAGTAATAAATTATCCTGTCCTTTTAATCTTTTTTCAAGTACTTTAAAAAGCATTTAAAGCACTTTGAATAGGACATCAGTACTTAAAGCATCTGTTAGATTAAAAAACATGTGATATATGGATATAGTAGTTGATTAAAAGATATTTAGTCAAAATTTCCAAGTTAAGACCAGTGTAAGTTACATTTATGTATGGAATGAATGAATTAAAGTTGTAAGCAATGTAAGAGTTTCTGTGTTTAAGATGTTTGCAGTGTAGTTGGAAAGACCATATTTGCACATCTGAAAAGTTACCAAAAATACAAATTACAGTTTTGGACCTAATTTTTTCTTCAGATCAGTTTCTTTTCCTTTCTATCTCTTCCATACTTATTTTGCATATTAAACATCCTTTTATCCTCCTTTTAGGACTTAATTGCTCTTAGATTCTTTTTAGCTACTTTTAGAAGCCTCCTGTCATGCTCAGATTAACATAATAATTCCTTCTCTGGCAATGAAATTAATTTGTGTATCTTTATCATTTTGCATTCCTAAAATATTTTCATGCTCATTTTTATGTTTTAAGTATTTGGGCACACTGTTTGGAGGATTGGGAGGGAAAGTGTGGAAACAGTTCTGACACTTTGTTAGTTGACATGATAACATCTTACTGTTAGGATTTCTGGTTATAGCTTTCTGGTTATGGCAGGAACTTGACAGTTGGTCTTTCAGGATGAAGTCTTCCAATCCTTCATCTTTTCAAAAAGAATTTAGATGTATTGCTACAAAAAAGGAAGTCGAAAATTAGAAAGATAGAAAATTTTCTAAAAATCTTTGGCTTTTTAACAAGTTTTGTAAATTTGAAAAGTGTTATTAAGCAATTGACTTCAGCATCTCAAAGCATTACAGTTGTTAAATCCACATGTATCTCTTGTATTTTTTTTCTTTTTTTTTTAATTTAATTTAATTTTATTTGTGAACATACTGTACAGAGGGGTTACAATTGCATGGGCAGGATAATGCGTACATTTCTTACCAAGCATTGCAGCCTCCTCCTTTGTTTACCCTTCACATCACTTCCCAGCCACCCCTCCCCCCCTGTATTTTTTTTTTCAAATTTTAATTGTCACTTATGTTGCTGAATTTCTTGCCTTTGGTTGAAATACAGAACTCCAGATAGTTTGCAGCTGTGGAGAAGCCATCTCTTAGAGAATTTTTTTTTTGGGGGTCCGGTCGTGGGGCCTGAACTCTGGGCCTGGACGCTGGGTCCCTCAGCTCTTCAGCTCAAGGCTAGCGCTCTACCACTCTTGAGCCACAGCGCCACTTCCGGCTTTTTTCTTTTTGCTTATGTGGTGCTGAGGAATCGAACCTAGGGCCTCAGGCATGCAAGGCAAGTACTCTACCACTGAGCCACCTTCCCAGCCCCTCTTAGAGAATTTTATTCTGCCACCATTGTAACCATTTACAGACCACAGAGTTCACAGCAACTTGGAAGCCCTCATGTGTTCTACCTATTGACCTTCAGTTATGTTAGATGAAAACGACTACGTTTATTTTCTAGTTTCCTAGTAAAGTTTCTGTAAATATTAAGAGCAAAAGGAAAAGAAAACATCCTTTTGAAAGATTACCCTGTTTCTTTGTTAGCAGGAGAAGTACTTCATGAGAAGTCTAAAATTATTTAATTTCACTTATCTAATTGTTTCAAGATTCCTAACTGAAAAGGGGTTCAGAGAAAGATATTAAAGTATTAGTCTATTGATTGAATGGGGGGGGGCATATACCCACCTTCTTCATGGCTGTTATCGGGATCTTTTCTCGTGTTTTCTTAGAGCACTCTAATGATTTGAGTACAAGTAATTCTCTTTTGTTCTTGTATATATCTCAAAGCTTCAGTCCTACAGACATCTTTAAATATAATGGTACCAAATCCTTTTAATGAGAACTTAAGTAGAAGATCACTTCTGAAGAAATATTTTTTTTTTTTGTTTTTTTGTTTTTTGTTGGTCATGGGGCCTGAGCTCTGGGCCCTGGGTGCTGTCCCTCAGCTCTTCAGCTCAAGTATAGTGCTCTTCCACTTGAGCCACAGCACCACTTCTGCCTTTTTCTGCTTATGTAGTGCTGAGGAATTGAACCCAGGGCCTCATGCATGCAAGGCAAGCACTCTACCACTGAGCCACCTTCTCAGCTCAGAAATAATTCTTTAATAATGCAAAGAAGAAAAACCTTTAATTTCTTACAATTACCTTATTGAAAACCATCTTTTTGAAGCATCTACTTTGAATTCATAAATAGAATAGATAATTTTGTACATCTAACATGAAATTATCCATGATAATTTTCTGCATTATGGTATAATCAACAAATCTGAAGTATCTAGTAGAGTTTTCAAGTAATGAAAGCTTGCTGAAACTAGTTCTCAATCTTTTGCCATCGTTAAGATGGAATATTAAATGCCATTAGATTTTTTTTTTTTTGGGTCCGGTCGTGGGGCCTGAACTCTGGGCCTGGGCGCTGTCCCTCAGCTCTTCAGCTCAAGGCTAGCGCTCTACCACTTGAGCCACAGCGCCCCTCCGGCTTTTTTTCTTTTTGCTTATGTGGTGCTGAGGAATCGAACCCAGGGCCTCAGGCATGCAAGGCAAGCACTCTACCACTGAGCCACCTTCCCAGCCCCTAAATGCCATTAGATTTTAAGACAAGTCTTCACTTATTATTGAAATCAAATTGGCTTATTTACATTTTTTTGAAAAATTTGACTATAAAGCAATAAGTTGTAAAACTGTGCATAGTGTCCCTTTTTATTTGGAAGTAATTATGTTTACGTATCGGTCTGTAAGTTATACATAAGATACATACATGATAGAGTTGATTGATTTTCCACATTCCTATATTTGATGCTTCTGGTCACAGCAAAAGTGGATTTAAAATAATAGGTAGTAAATGTTCAGTGAAAATTAATGTTGAAAACTTACTTTACAAAGGTTTTCCAAGCCTTGAGGTACACCTACTTTAATGGATTACTTTTATGCTTGAATATATAATGTATCCAGCTAGCACAAAATGATGGTAATGGACCCTAGTATTCTAATACTCAAATGAGTTTAACAGTCTCAGGAAGAGAACTAGTATAACTGAATAAAGAAATGGAAAGGTATGAAAAAAAACTGGTTCTGCTACCTAGAGTTACTTTAATTTTCTTAGTATGTGAATTATTTAATGTGGTCATTTCAAAGAACAAAAAAGAATTAAGTCGAAATATCATGATATAATTTGCATTCCATTTTCTCCGTGACCATAGTTGTTAGATATTGCAACATATGTAACATAAACCACATGTCAGCTGTTTCCTGCCTCCTTGTTGACAAGAGCCCCATTCATAACTCTTCTTTTTATCCTTTCAGTGAATAAGTAATTATTCAATATAGGAGGCAGGATATTTGGAACTGGCTATTTAATGTGGCAGAACTCTGTAATGAAATCTGCTGTTACTGGCAACCTGAGAGGGCAATGTAACAATTCCAGCAGGTCTGTAACTTTATCTGCTTTGACTGACTTGTTTATTTGGCACATCAGTGAGCCTTTTATCCCAGTGAGTGACAGCTCCAGAAGGGTCACATTTACATCCATTCTATCATGTATTGTAATATTTAATGGCAGACAAGGTTGAGTGAGACTGGGAGTAATTTGAACTTGCTTTTCCACCAAGTTGAGGCTAAAAGACAGCTTGATCTCCAGTATTGTGGTGTAACATGCTATGACTTAGCATTTGTTTATGGCACTAATCTTACTGATTAACAAACAAAAAAGTCCACAAAACTTCAGTAAGAAGAGTACTTGTTCTAATAAAGTAAGACTTTCAGTACACATTAGTTTAGGTTAGTGTGCTCTTTACCTTTTTTTTACTCCATCAGTGACTATATCAGGGTATTTTTCTTAAAAGAAACCTCATTCTGTCTCATGTAATATGGTAATTGAGGCTTTTAAGGGAGTAGTTACTGAGAACCTGTGAGTTCTAATAATATACAGCATTAAACTTAATATTTTTAAGAATTCGGAGGCAGGAGATAAAACTCATATAACTGTTAGAGACTGTGTGCCTAATGTTTATGCGATATGTTTAAGAAGACATTTATGTAACTATTTCAGTTGTGAAATGGAATTATGAGTGAAAAGCTATCTTGCATAATTTTACTGATGGATTTGTATTTCACAACAGATAATCCGGTTTCAGATAGACTTGTTCCACATAAACAACTTACTTCTACCATTAAATATTAATATTTTGCATTTATTTTATACCTTTGCTGGAGAACTTTTTTAATCTCATGTTTTAGTTATAATTGAAATTCAACTTGGTGTTCCTGTTCTTTTGTGAACTGTATTTAGAATGTTAAAAAAAATCAGATGTATTAGAGAGTATTTGAAGAGCTATACTGTCTGTGAGCAAAACTATTAACATCACAAATTCACATGAAACCTGAGAAAAATTAAAATGATCGTCCACTGTCGTTCACTTTCATAATTTATGAAAGAGAAGGGTTAAGATGTATTTAAGATAATTGAAATTAGAAAGAGAGTATGTTAGAAAGAATATAAATATGAGAACATCATTTTATAGCTTTTAAAAGAAAGAGAAATTTGTAGTGGAATTTATAGTTTTTAGTGGCAATCATTGACCACAATGACTCATGACTTACAGGTTCTGATTCCATGAAAGTTTTGATAACATTTTGTATAGTAGTCCAGACATGAGTTATCTTTTTGTTTCCTCTCTTTTGCAGCATCCTGGTCACTGTTCTAAGTGCTGCTGTTCTACTAAACAAGGAAACAATCAAGATTCTTCAGATACCATTAAGAAGGACCATGGGGGGAAATCCAAGAGACCCAAAATATATTTTGGGACACGCACACACAAACAGATTGCTCAGATTACTAGAGAGCTCCGGAGGACAGCTTATTCAGGGGTGCCAATGACTATTCTTTCCAGCAGAGATCATACTTGTATCCATCCTGAAGTAGTTGGTAACTTCAACAGAAATGAAAAGTGCATGGAATTACTGGATGGCAAAAACGTGAGTAAAGTTATTTTATTTTAGAGAAAAAAACAAGGCTGAAGAGATTCACATTACTTAATAAATGTTTTTGATGTACATTTCTAGTGATAAGTAATTTATGAAGATCAAATTGTTACTGTTGGTAATGTTTGTAAAGTAATTGTATCATAAAGTCTTTCATCAAGTTTAAAATTGTAGGTTTTATCTTAAGCTTGCAGATATTTAATGCCTTGAAGCTAGTTTTCATTATAGTCAGATGTTATCTTTTTTTAATTTCTCTACCAAAAATTGTCAAATATGGATGATGTCAAATAAAGATAAAGATATTTTGATGATATAGTCTAATTTGATCTAATTAACAAATTCATTTGTTTAAAACTTGAAAAGAAGATTGCTGAGACTGAGAAAATTTTGGAAGTGTTTTATGGAGTCGTGATAATTATCTTTCCATAATTCTAAGTATTACAAAGTTTTTTGAAAATTACATTAGCATATGCATATTTGGAACTCTCACAGTGGAACTCTCCTCGTTAGATAATTAATATGCAGTTATACAAGTGTGGAAAGTTACATTAGCCTAGTAACTTTAAAAAGGTGTCTTAGATGATTTTGAAGATTTCTAGGGAAAATAGAATAGTATAAAGGTAAGTAAAAATACAGAAGTCTCAGTAAACCAAAGATATGATTTTTAAATGATTCTTAAATACTGTTATGGAGAGTATTATTTGGGAGTCTGTATTCTGCTATAACTATCTGTTCTAAAACTGAAGTTGTGAATATGAAATTAAACTTAGAAATCATTAGTCTACCAGTTTATGATCAATGGTATTTTACTGGTTATTTTGAAAGATTTTTTTTTTTTAATTTCACTTGGTATTTTATCCAAGACTATGGCTTACCGTCCTAGTTTCACTGCATTGAAAGATCCCCTCCTACCATAAAATGGGAATAAATTATTTTAATTATGCTTCTCTTTCTCAGTGCTTTTTTATTAGATGAGAATCTATTCAAGCTCTTTTTGGGAATACTGTTTTGAAAGATATTTAAACACAACATAGTATAAAAGAGAACATAAAGTCTAAGTAGTAAAGGGTCCCAGTGGAAAAATGTGGTTTGTTCAAAGCCAGAAAGAGAATTCAGAATTACTGAATCAAAAATCACTGTTGAAAATCACTGTTCCTCATATTTATTTCCGTGTAAGTTCTTTCTAACTTATCAAAGAATTATGAAATCTTCTTTGTATTTATTTAAAAAGTTCCCATTAGGGAGAGATGAAAATATTGAAAAGTCAAGTGTGAAAAATATTAAGAAGGAAAAAAATCTCTTCATGACAAAACTATAAATTTCATGTTTTAGCAGGCTTTTAACTCATCTGAATTTCTTAAATATTTAATTTTTTTGACTGGTATTGTCATGTGTGTGTGTATGTGTGTGTACATGTGCATGTGTATGCACACTCCTGTATTTTGAACACTGTCCTTGAAGTTTTTTGCTCATAGATAGTACTCTACCATTTAAGCCATAGCACTCCTTCCAGCTTTTTTTTTTTTTTTTTTGGCGATTAATTAGAGGTAGGAATCTCAAGGATTTTCTTGCCCAGGCTGTCTTCAAACCACGATCCTTAGAAATTAGCCTTCTGAGTAGCTAGGATTACAGGCAGTCATGGGCATCAGCTTTTTGTCATATTTTTTTATTCATTAAAAACTTACGTTTAAAAAATACACACATTGATAAAAAGCAATTAACATGTTTAAGATTATGTATTAGAGCCTAACAGTCTGATTTTATATAGTCAGTCTTCTAGAATCCTGCAATATTATTTACATTCTTAATTGATTTTTTTACTCCATAAGTATGAGCCATGTGAAAATAAAGTAATTGAATAAACTTCAATTTCCAGAATTTTTTACTCATCTAAAAGGAATTAGTATTTAGTGATACACCTGCTTGTGGCTTGACCTAATTCTGCCTTTGAATGCTTTCCTTCTGGGTGAACGTGAACATTGTTTTTCTTGTTCCCCAGCCCTCAGAGTAATTTGGTATTGTAATGAGGGTCAATTACCAAGTCACCATAGGTGTCTGTGTTTGCTGTGGCTGAATCACCAAAGCTGAAATGACAAATAGATAACTGGCAGTTTGAGTGAAAAGAGTTTAAAGTGTGATAACGCTTCAATTGACAGACTCCCCTCAGGGTTGTGTTACACTGCTAAAGTGGATGAGCTTTTCTGGTTTTGCTATCAGCCTGCACAGGGCTGTCATTCTTAGTGCCCTTAAAGTGTAAACTTGCTGATTTTTTGGCTTGATCTGAAGGCACATGTGTTTTTGTTCACTGTTTCTTTTATTAAAGTGCCCTCACACTACAAAACTGTGCACTTGTCTGTTAAAAGTTAATTTTTGTTTCAGTTAAGAAAAAATTTTAACAAGAGCCAGAAATGACAATTCAAAAAAAATTTAGATATAAAGTATCTGCTTTTTATTAAAATGAGACTTGGGGCTGGGAAGGTGGCTCAGTGGTAGAGCGCTTGCCTTGCATGCATGAGGCCTTGGGTTCGATTCCTCAGCACCACATAAGCAAAAAGAAAAAAAGCCAGAAGTGGCTCTGTGGCTCAAGTGGTAGAGCACTAGCCTTGAGCTGAAGAGCTGAGGGACAGTGCCCAGGCCCAGAGTTCAGGCCCCACGATCGGACCCAAAGAAAAAATAAATAAATAAATGAAATGAGACTTGTTAGTTTACAGTCATAAATTCTAAAGATTCTTCAGTGATCATTTTGTACAAAAATAAGCTTTCAGAAATGTAATGGAAGATTCTTGGAATGAAGACATGATAAACATTATATTAAGGTGAGACTATATCAGACTGAGTGCAAAAGGTAAATAATATATCTCTACTGTCTGGATAATAGAATCACAGGATCTTAGAGCTGGAATAAACCTTTGTGAAGGTATAGCCAGTGAATCAGAAGGAATTCTTTAAAAGCTTCTGGGTCAGCTAATTTTTAATGCTTAGTCACATGAGAAGAATGGGCCTAGAAGTATGTCCAGCTAGAAAAATAGCAAGAAAAGAGATACTGGAATCCAAGGTTTCTAACTCCTATTCCATGATTTTTTTTAAAATTTTATTTTATTTTATTTGTGAACATACTGTACAGAGGGGTTACAATTGCATGGGCAGGATAATGCGTACATTTCTTACCAAGCATTGCAG